CAATTTTACACATTTAGTAAGGTTTGAAATTGAACTTGAAAGACTTGGAGTAATAATTTGATATTCGATTAATTAAATAGAATATAATTAGAAAATCATTTGTAAAATCTTAAAATTCATTTAAATTAATTTGTTATATCGAAACACAAAAATTTTTCAACAATCCTTAAATCTGATAATGGTGGGGAACATCTCTCGGTCATTGGATCTTTCTTCTAGGAAACATAATAGTCCATCTCATTCATATGTCGACACTCCACAACAAAATGGGGTCGCCGAACGTGAGCACTCATTTTCTCTTCAATGTTCCAAAATACCTTTGGGTTGAGGCTCTCTTAATAACTACTTTTCTAATCAATCGTTTGCCTAGTGAGATTCTTGCCTTTAAGTGTCCACGGGATATCCTTTCCACTAAATTCCCTCACTTTAAACCTTTTACCTTATGTTCCGCTTCGTGTCTTTGGTTGTACTGCCTTTGTCCATGACCATAATCCTCATAAATCTAAACTTGATCCTCAGGCAATTCGGTGTGTCTTTGTTGGTTATTCATCCCATCAGAAAGGTATTGTTACTCTCCTTCTACAAAAAAGGTTCTTCACATCTATGATCACTTTTCCAAACATAAATTGTCTTCTCAAAAATCGAAATCCAGGGGAAGAGTGAGTTTGAATTTCAATTTTTACCGATTATTACCGAGTTACCCATCAATCCATCTTCTATTGAAAAACTACCACTCCACAACTTCCTAACACCACCACATTTGATAATGAAAACCAATCCATTAATCCATCGACTCTCATGAAACACCTAGACTGTCTACCGATATTCTCATCTACCGATATTCTCATCTACAAAAGATTACCAAACAACCCTACCTTCCACACCGCAACCAATGCATTGTCAAGAGCCAGAACCAGGTTTAAATCCATCGACAAACAAAGGAGATAGTGACCAAAGTAAGTTGGGTGTGGTAATTGATACTAGTGAGTTACCAATTGCTCAAAGAAAGAGAGTTAGATGATGCACAACTCATCCTATTAGTAAATTTGTTGCTTATGAGAAACTAATGTCTAGTTTTAAGGCTTTCACATCTCAGGTTTATCATATTCACATTCTAGAGACCATAGAGGAGGCATTAAAAAGTCCTGAGTGGAAGAAGGCAGTTGAAGAAGAATTTCAGCTCTAGAAAACAACAAAACCTTGGTCATTGTTGACCTACCTAAAGACAAGAAACCAGACGCTACAAATGGATATTTACTGTGAAATTTAAGGCAATGGAAAAATTGAGAGATATAAGGCTAGACTTATGGCAAAAGGGTTCACTCAGACTTATGGAGTTGACATCAGGAGACCTTTTCTCCTGTTGCAAAACTCAACACTATTCGAGTTCTATTATCCCTGGCAGTGAACAAGGATTGGATACTTCACCAACTAGATGTAAAAATGCATTTCTTAATGGCATCTTGAAGAAGAAGTCAATATGCAAGTTCCACCAGGAATTCATTCTGGAAATAACCGGATATATAAATTACTGAAATCCTTATATGGTCTAAAACAATCACCTCGAGCTTGGTTTGATAGATTCAGGAAGGTAATGTTACAAGACAACTACAAACAGTGTCAATCAGATCATTCTGTTTGTAAAAATGCTTCTGATAAGAAGAAGTCAATCTTGATTGTCTACGTTGATGATATCATTATCACGGGTGATAACTTGGTAGAAATGAGAAGTTTAAGACATTACTAGCAAAAGAGTTGAAAACCAAAGATTTGGGAACTCTGAGATATTTCCTAGGCATGGAGGGCGAGATCACGAGAAGGAATTGTCATAAATAAAGAAACTATATTCTAGACTTACTTTCTGAAACTAGAATGACTAATTGTAAGCCCTCAGAAACTCCTATGGAAGTTAACTTGAAATTGAGTAAAGATGGAAACCCGGTAAACAAAGAACATTATCAAAGGCTAGTTGGTAAACTCATTTATCTATCTCTAACTAGACCTAACATTGCTTTCCTGTTAGCATTGTTAGTCAATACATGAATGATCCAAGAGAAGAGCATCTGGAGACAATTAATCGAATCTTAAGATATCTAAAGATGACACCAGAACATGGGTTGATTTCACAAAACATGAAGACAAAACAGTTAAATCTTCTCAGATTCAAGCTGGGCTGGAGAACTAACAGTTAGAAGGTCAACCACGAGATACTGCTAATTTGTGTGGGGAAACCTAGTCACATGGAGAAGCAAGAAACAATCAGTAGTCTCCAGAAGTAGTGCAGAAGCAGAATATAGGACGATAACACTCAGAATGTGTGAAGGAATTGGCTATAAAGACTTAACTGAACTAGAGATGTGCGATAACAACAATTTTGAACTTCAAGTGACAGCAAATCTACAATAAGCATTGCAAAGAATCCGGTGCACCACGACAGAACAAAACATGTGGAGATCAACAAACACTTTATTGCTGAAAAAGTAAATGGCGGAACTGTGAAACTAAACTACGTCCCTTCACAAAACCAGCTAGCAGATGTATTGACTAAGACACTTCCAAGGATTACCTTTGACGAAATTACATCAAAGTTGGGTCTTCACAATATTTACTCCCTATCTTGAGGGGGAGTGGAAGTAGTGTTTAAGTTAAACTTTAAATTCTAACTTATCTAAAAAACTATCTCCTAATTTATAGAAAAGATGACTCCTATCTTATCTAGGTCTCTAATTATGTATATAAAAATCCCATGTATCCTCTGGTAATATGCAATTATTCTTTGAATAAAATAATTTCAGAATAAAAAATCCATTTTCCAGAGTGGAAAACTCAGTTTCTACAATCTTCACCGTTACCAGCCAGAAGCACGAGAACATCTCTTGTAATAGAAGAGATTTCAGAACCTGATAAAATTAAATCCAGGAAGTGGGTCAATAAGGACAATGGAACAACCTCTTGGTGCAAGACTAGCTGAGGCATCAGGGTCTGAGGGTAAGGAGGGGAATTAAAACAAAGAAAACTTCAACGGACCAAACAAGTTCCAATAGATAGATTTGATGAATGGGAAGAAGATATAAACTTGAGCGTGAGCAGCGGAAAATTGATGACATGTTTATGAGAGAAGCGTTGCTGGAAGCCAAAAAAGCTGCTGATTCTTGGGAGGTGCCTGTTGGGGCAGTACTAGTGCAGCATGGGAAGATAATTGCTCGAGGTTGCAACATGTGAGTTCAATAACCTGACATGCTTTTGATTGATTGTTATTATTTCTTAAGTTTTGTATTGATTATTTAATTCAGGGTAGAGGAATTACGGGACTCAACTGCGCATGCAGAAATGATCTGTATACGGGAAGCTTCAAGCATACTACGTTCCTGGAGGCTTACGTAATATTTCTCTTTACTGTTCTGAAGTGTATTAACTTTTTGATGGAGGGGATGTCAAAGCATCAAAGCAGTTTCTCAATAGTTCTAGTTTCACTATAACCAGGCATTTGCTGAGAAAACATGAAAAGATATGTGCACCTAAATTTCTCTGATAGTATGGGTATATGTTCAAATGTGTAATTACTAGCAATGTCATTTTCTAACTTGCAATGGATTATGGACCTAATTGCCTAAAGGTTTTAGCTTTGTAGTCATTGCTGGAAGTTTGATGACTTGGTAACCTACCTACATTATGCCATAAACATGCATTCAATTTTATATCCAAATGTGATACCATACTTGATAAGAGAATATAATGTAACTAAAAGTTCTAGTAATCTTTCTGTTTGATAACAAAAGTCATGTTTTATTCCAATGTTGTAATATCAGAACAAATATCTTTTCGTTTCCCTTTTTAATGGTTCTATAGTCAAGCCATTTAGTTACTCTCTTCAGTGATCGATCTTTCCCCCCTGCAGGATGCAACATTTAGTTACACTTGAACCATGTCCTATGTGTGCTGGAGCAATACTTCAGGCAGAATTGACAGTGTTGTGTGGGGAGCTCCCAATAAGCTTCTAGGAGCAGATGGCAGCTGGATAAGGTAGTAGTTATGACAATAAATTCTTTACCCATCATTGGTCCGGAGAATTTTGTAGTACCGTGATTTAACTGTTATATGGTTTGAATTTATACTTTTCCATGGTTTGAAAATTGCAACTTAACATTCTTGCCAAGACAAAAATGTTGCTAATTATAACATGTGGTTTTGGTCTTGATATTCGGGGTACTAAAGAAATAGAATAGGAACTCTTTCTTGACGAATTACCCTATATTTTTGCAGACTTTTCCCTGATGGAAGAGGAAGTGGGTCAGAAGTGACAGATAAGCCAGCGGCTCCGGTCCATCCATTCCATCCAAATATGGGAATTAGACGGGGTATATTGGCATCGGAGTGTGCCGATATGATGCAACAAGTTTTCCATCTCAGGAGAAAGAATAAGGTAAAGAATGCAGAGCAGCCCCAACCACCATCTTGTCTTCCTATAACAAGTCATCAATCAAAATTCTTTACCAAGGGGCATGATTTCATGCATTTGTTGTTCTGTTTGTGAGATTGTAGGAAACCAACATACAGTTTTTTATATTAGGTTCTATAAAGTGTTTTATGAATGAAATGCTAATTTTCTTCAAATCAAATTGAATGTGTGATAGATTTGGCACTGTTTGCCGTATGAACAACTGAATCGCTGACAAGGCTCATCGCCTATTTCTTAGCAAACCCCTTCTTAATCTTCCCCAGAAACAGATTGTATCCCCTTGTCATCAAATACACACCATTATGGAAAAATGTTCTCAGTTCAAACTTCAAACTCGATCAACATGATTGTCATTCGCCTCAAGTGAGAAGTACAAGAGCAAAAATAACAGGAACAGATGTGAATAACACGAAAGCTGAATAACAAAAATATCGGCAGCGTTTTATTGCTTATCCATCCTATTCTTACATGATTGATGAGAATGAAGATTAATTTTACCCATCCTATTCTTACATGATTGATTAGAATGATATTAATTAGAATCATAATCGATATATATGTCACCAGTTAGGTTGATCTGTCTTCACATTTCATCCCTTAAGTCATACTCAACAACAAGGCTAAGATTGTCAGCTAATTTGTGGTATTGGAGACACCCTGCACACTGATAAGAAGTCAGGAGGTCAAAAACTTTTTTTCTTAATTTAAACAACCATCACTAGTTCTCTGCCAACACAGACAACATATCTGCACTTTTGTTTTCATTAATCAATCAAAATCTTAACATCACTTCTATAGGTTTTCCAGATACAGATAAAAGACACATTTTCAAGAAATTAATGCAGCTGTTAAATGTTTCATTCAACTTCATGATCAGATAAATATTGCAAAATGTCAACCCTCAAGCTAGTGAGGGTTACCACCAAACCCCCTTAATATTAATAGAAATCAGTATTATAAGAGCCTATAAACTGGAAAACAAATGAACCAGTACAAAACTGAAAGCTTAATTGCAGTGGAGAAAAATGTAAATTTTACACACATTGAGGTCAATATTCATTTCTATAGCTATAAGAAAATCACAGCAGACTGGATCAAATACATTTTTCATATTAATATGCTTTATACTGCTATAGAACCATTTATGATGAAAACATTAGCAGTTCCAATCCAAATTATTTGAAGCCATTCAATTATCAAGAAACATATAATAAGAACCTTTCCTGATAGGAAAAAGAGAACAAAGAAACAAGGAAAAATACCTGTACATACACAAGTCCACGTTCATAGGCCAAACGGTTTGAGCCTCTCTGTTCTTTCGCCACATTCCCCACAAGTGAACTGGACTGATAAACTTCTTGGCAGTTTTATGTGAATTGTTGAATCCTGCACAAAGATCATGCATGACAAATAAAACCTATTGGCTAATGGCATGTACGTGTTGGATTATCTCTAGCAATATTATGCAAAACCCATCAGAGCATCAGCAACTGCAAGAACTGCAGGAACAACATGCTTTCTTGAGTTTTGAACTTACAATTAAAACATGTAGTCTTCCTATTCCTCCCAGATAATTGCACATTCTCATCATATACAAATATCCCAAGAACTGTAAAAAGAGAATTTACAATGCTGTCTCCCAAAAACTGTGAATATTTGGCATCCCCAAACATGTCCAACCTCTCAAATGAGCAATCTGATATTCTGTTAACTTGAATTGCAAATTGTAATCAAACCAGATACTGAAGACTATTGTTGAAAAAAGAAATCACATTGAGTTTGTGGCAAGGTGAATTGAATTATTTATATGTGTCACTAGAGTATTACAAGTGAAGAAGTAATCGTTTTTGTTTTAATCACTTTTCCAAAAGAACCATTTTTGGAACAATTATCCTCACTTAAAAACTCATTTTCCAGAGCACATTATATGTATAAATTTTCTCTTGCCGATTAAGGTTTGCATAAACAAGAGCAATAGCAATATTTACAACATATATAAAGGGAAAGAAAAGAGTACCAGGAATAAGGAAACTCGGATAATAACTGAGTACATAAGAAGTGAATTATATCATACAGCGTTTGAATTAGCCGTGTTTTCATTTGGGTCCGTCGTAGAATCAGAAGCCAAAACCCGAACTGCTCGTTTAGGTAGCCCCAGAGAGGGATGTGAAAGTTTCAGACTGAAAATGAAAAGAAAAGAAAGTAGGTGAATTTGAAAGTGATACAAGGGGAAAAGAAAGAGAGAAAGAAAAACCCAGAAATTAAGGATTACCTGGGAATTGGTTTGAAGGGGTAAAATGAAAGGGAAGTGATGGGTTTGTGATTGTAAGAGTGAGAGGTGAGTTTTGGGAAGGAAAGAGTGGAGCAGAAGCAGATACCGCTTGTTGCTGAAGCCATTGTTTTGTATTTGTGTAGCTCTGCTGCACTCGCAGTGACTTGATGAATATTTTGGCCGAGAGAGGCGTCCAGTAATAGTTACGTTTAGTTCACAAAATGTAAGGTTATCGGTGTGAATAAAAGATTACTAGAATAAGATTATGGGAATATTGTATTTTGTGTTTGGTTGGTTTAGCAGAAATGTAATTACCGTGTTTGGTTAAAGGAATAAAAGATTATTGGAATGTATATTTGATCAAATTGTCCTTATTATATATTTGTATAATATTACAAATTAAATATTTATATATTTCTTTAAAAATTAAATCATAATATTTATATAAATTTTTTACAAAATTAAAAATATAAAAATGTTTAATGAAAGGGTAAATTTTTTTAACCCCTGAACTTTATATAAATTTTAATTATTTTTTTTTTGTAAATCTAAAATAATTTAAGGATAAATTTGTAATTTAACCTTCGTAGAATTTTATTATTCAATGACAGAAGAATGATATTTTTGAAAAAAAATAAAAATTTAAGGGCATTTTAGTCTAAAACGCCGATAATGTTACAATACCTAAGGGAAGTGAGGTAATGACATTCCCGATAATATACCCAAAAAAATATATTATTAGTAATAAAACATTACCGAGAATGAGATTCTCGACCAACCAAACATGAGAATGTAGATTCTCATCCCATGAAAATCCCACAATCCTTGAACTAAACACCCCTGAATGTAATTGAAGTTGCCACGAGTTATTATTTATGATTCTTCTGTTTCCATTAGTATTTGTTTATGTGTGTTTGAAAGTTGTGTATTATTAATAATTAAAAAATATAAATAAATAATATTTATAGTTATTTAAATTATTTAAATGATTATTATTTGACAAAGGCAAAAAGTGGCTAACATTAATTTTCTATTGATTATTATATATGTATACTTGATGGGAGAAATAGGATAATAATGATATTTCATTATTGTTATTTTTATTTTTTAATTTTTATTTTTTATTTTTTTTTGTTATTTTTATTTGACGAAAAAAATATACAATTGGTTAACTGATGTAGAAGGGAGAATAAACGTTAAAAAGATGATGAATCTAGGATAAATATAAAATAAATCTATTCTTATTTTATATAGTAATTTATATATAAGATTTTGTTGGTATCAAGTTTTGGTGATGATTGCTATATATATAGGTTGAATATAGTTTGATTGTTAGATAATAGATTAACAAACTGTAATCGATTAGAGGATACAAAACTTTGAAATTTTAAGATTTTATGGATGAAAAAGGAATAATAACACAGATAACTTGGGAATACAACAACACTATTTTCATATTTCTTTGGAATATTAAGAGCAAGCTTATGCCTTGGTAATGAATGACAAAAGAAAAACCTACAACAACAACATGGTTCCACCTAGGAAATCGTTATCCGAGACCAGCCTTTGCCAATAGGCATCCCTCTTCCTCATCTACTTGGTAAAAGGGCAGTGGCATTGACTTTACTGCCCTGAACTTGCCAATAGCATTATTTAGATGCTCATTCTTCAGCCTGGGCCATTAGAAGATTTTACTCATTATGCAACAAGTGTATATGTTGATGGGACAAATGCCTAGCCCCGTGCTTTGCTTGCACAGATTCAGCAAATATTAAACCACAATCACATCTTTTTCTTGTACACAATCCTGCATGTCATTCAAAATTTTGTTCAATTCTTAGACTTTAATTTTTGACACCATCCGTTAGTTCGATCGAATAATTGCAACGTATATTCCTTTGATTTCATATTTTCTATCTAGTAAGACCAAGAATCTTACTTTTGTTGTGGAATGACATTAATTAATCTCAACCACAATAAATAAACTGTTAATGTTATGTGGGACAAAATATACTGCATATCTCTCCAATAATGGGGTTGAAGGACACTGCATAAGCATGTGAATTAGAAATATATGTGGTTAAGATTTACTTTATAAAAAGCATGCGGGATAGAAATCATGTTCGGGTAGGAACAAAAGCATGTGGGGTAGAAACTGTTATAATTTTGTTTTTATTATTAATTCACCGGACTGACTTTTTTTGTTTTCTTCTTTTTCTCTTTTATTTCATCATTTGCATCATTTTATAGAGGTGTTGATCAACAAAATGTAAGTAAAAAAAACTCCGATTAGTTTCATTAATGAATAAAGGGATTGTGATGCAAGAGGTTCAAAACGCGAAGGTATGACTTTGGTCTAAGAAGACTCGAAAAGAGAAGAGGACAGTTTTCCATATAACTATATGTCAGGGTTAGTAAATTAAACTTCAATCAACCTCAAACACAACAATGTTTAGGAACTACGGAACATCTAGGACAGTTGGAAGGATGAGAGAAGAAAGAAGTTCTACCAACGCTATGGCGATATTGCATATCTACTATATGTTAAGGTGCACAAACCTTTGATCCAGACACTAGTCTAGTTCTGGAATCCGGGGATCAATTGTTTCACCTTCAACAACGAAGTTGGGACAGTTGGAAGGATGAAAGAAGAAAAAAGTTCTACCAACGCTATAACGACATTGCATATCTACTCTATGTTAAGGTGGATGAACCTTTGATCTGGGTACTAGTCTAGTTTTGGAATTCAGGGTACAGCTGTTTCACCTTCAACAAAGAAAATATGGTGCCCACGATAAAATACTTGATTCATGGATTTGAAAATATGAAATTTGGGGCACTAGTCCATATAGTGAGGATACTCGATTCATGGAGGAACATCTCAAACTTGTCCCATGAACTAAAAATAGCAAGAAATGAATTTGAAGCAGAATAGAAAGAATGAGAAAAAAACTAAAAAGCTAGATGAGAGAGGTTCCAGTGAAAGATGGATGTAAAGATCCAGAAAAATAAGGTAGACAAAACGGAGAAGGAATATAAGAAACTTATGATAAGTTGGAGGATCTAAGAAAATGGTATCAAGAGCATACTTAGAAAATGCTAATATGAAGAGATCATCCAAAATGTGGAAGGATAAAGCGATCAACCTGAAAAGGAAAGTTAAAGCAAGGTGACAGAGAGGTACTGAAAGATCGATTGAAGACTTTCTAGAAGCAACTATCAGAAAGTCAATATCAAAACAAGAGGATGAAGACCAGAGTAACTAATTTGGAGAAGTCTTTTCAAAGGCGTCAAGAGCAAGACAATAGAGCCATGAAGAAACGCATAGCTGAATTGGAAGGCATCATAGACAGGTACAAGCTCTAGATAGTTCCCTACGATATAGGACTTCAATGTCATTTTTTATGGGAACATGTTAAACGAAAGGTGAAAGCAAGCGATGCAGTCATTCAGGAGTTTCTAGAGCAAGTTCAGAAGACGGCTCGTCACTTATATGGATTGACAAGAGAAGTTAGGGCAGCGAGGCTGGGTATCCAACCAGTGACCAGTAAAGCAAGAAGACTTGTCAACCTACTAGATGTTGTCCAAAGTTTAGAGGAATTGGCTCAAGTGTACCTTTAAATGTTTTTTTTCTCATTGTAATAACATTTTTGTCTAAATGAAGGTTATTTATTATAACAAACACTTTTGGGATCAATGACTCGACTTCTTGTTCTACTAATTTTTTATGCATCCATTATTAAACATGATGGACTTATAAAAATTATTTTATGAGAATGAACAAGCACTAGAAAAATTGAATCCACATAACAATCGAAGAAACAAGATAAAATGAAGCAAAATGACCAAGTGGAGGATTGTTTGTTGAAGTTGCAACAAGATATAATTCAAAAAAAAACTACGTTGGACTCAATAGCACAAGGCCAAACTAATATGGTTAATGAAATAGTGAACAAACTTTTTGGGCTGGTTGTTGCAAACTTCCCATGAGTAGAAAATTATAAATGTTTAGTGGTACAATCCACCCAAAGCTAGTCATTGCGCCTGAAAAGTTATCTAGATATCATGGGACTCATCGGTCCCTAAGGCACAAGATGCGACAACCAATCCTCAAAATAACCCTGAAGATTATACTATGCTAGACTTGGACGAGTTAGATAGGGCAAGAAAAAATACTGAGCACCTGAAAGATGATGTGAGACTTTTTCAAAGGGTTATGAGGACAAAGCTCTCATGATGATAGACGCAAGGGATCTGCGCTTAGTACCTGATCTGGTTCTTCCTCCGAAATTCAAAATGCCAGAATTTGAAAAGTATGAGGGTAAAACTTGCACTGACATGCATCTTACGATGTTCTGTCATAGGATAACTGGTTTCGTGAGAAATAAGAAGCTAATATTCATACTTTTGAGCAATCTAATCAGAGCAGCTGCAAGATGGTACAATCAGTTAACCATGCCAGATAGGATCATGGAATGATATGGTAACAACATTCAAAACATTACCGCATGTTTCTAACATGATGCTGACTATGTCACTCTCCAAAACATAGAGATTAAACACAATGAAAACTTCCGTCAATATGCACAAAGGTGGAGAGACATATCAACTCAAGTGCACCCCCAACTAAAAGTCCATCTACATCGAACATATGCTAGGAGTTACCACTAAAAGTTTCTCTGACATTGTTATGTGCGAGAAATGATCCATAAGTAGTGGAGAAGGTCAAATAATAATAATAATTTTAGAAAGAGGAATGAAGCGATGTGAACAACCTGAACATATGAATGCCTTTTCCATCCACCGTGGATTTATTGCTCTGATATGAAAGCATCACATTTTGTTTGAATTTGTTCTTTCTTCATTTTCTCAAACTTTTAAGTGTTTAATGAATAAACCATACTTAGGCTATGAGCAATAAAACCATTTTTTTAAATTCATTGAATATAAGAAATAGGAATGTTCTTCAGAAGTCATGGTTATAGCTTTTTTTACATATGACAAGAACCCATCATAAAAAAGACCCTTGATCTTGCTCCTTGATAACTCCGTAAAAGTCTATGTTTTGTGTCTTTTTACTTAAGTTATGAGTGTCTAAAGCCATTGATTTAGGATTTTAGTTGTATTTGTTGCATTAAGGATATATATGCATG